TTTTTGTCTGGCGGCCCCGGGACCATTATGCCTTATTGTTGTCTATTTATTATTATTTTTGAAATAACCACTCACTTGAAAAGGTTTGGTAACTGTGCAACAAGGTTGGGAACTACTAAAGAAAAGTGTCAAATGTTTTCAATTTTTTTTTTTTTTATTTTGTTTTTTTGTTTTCTATTTTTTATTATATATAGACGAAACAGAAGCACATACGCGATATCCGCGTTAACCAGTTTTAGCAATAACACTGAAAAGACAGAAGTTAAATACACAAAAATACCGAAAACACAGAAACAATTGAAAAAACGTACTACACTGAACACAAGTCGACTCGTCTAATCGTATTCATGTACATATTTTTATATTTTGACAAGGAGACCCATTTGAGGAATATAATAGTAATTTGCTATAAAAATTGAACTTTGTATTTAACAAATTTCATCTTTTATAAAAGAAGACCATATACTTACAAAAATTTCATCCTTGGCTCTCCTACACCGTTATAAACTTAACTTAAAACTATAATAACATTTACAATAATAAATAAAACCCCGCTTAAAATATAATCTAAAATGAAATAAAGGCATATAAATAATTTATACCTAATAATAAGAAAGGGTAAATGCGAACTTACCTTTGGCATAAAGTGAATCTTCATCTATATGAAAGAAAAAAATAGAACGTAAATAAGTAATTTATGAATATATGTATATTACATTTCAATTACCTTTAGTTTGCTGTTTTTCTTGCCCTATTTTCCATAAGTATAAGTGTGTTGATGGATCTTTTTAATCCAAAGTAAAAAATGAGAACGTAAATAAGAAATTTATTGATATATTTGCGAAATATTTGAAATACTTTAGAATCCAGACGCATTCCGATGTTTTTGCCTGTTAGCAGCGTAAACACCAAATCAAACTTAGAAGAAGTAAGTCTTTTGCTTTCTATAAATTTTTCAATCACTTTTTATATCAAAGTGAACGTCTATCGCTGATTACTTAAATTTGCTTTCGCAAATTAATCATTCTTATTGGGCTTGAAATTTAAAAGAACATAGAGAATATACAATTTTTAAGTGTCAGTATCTTTAGTGTACCGATTTGGGCTCCTAACAAACATTTGCACCGAATTTGAGTCAATATCTCTTGTATAGTTGAAGCTGCTTTTTAATCCTTACGAGTCTATGTTACTGCTGGTTATACCTACCTTCCACTGCTTGTTTAGGCGATCTTGGTAAACCATTTTTTTTTTTAAACTCAGGAAGTCAATATGAACCTAGGAAATATAATAGATAGCTTAATTATATTTGTTAATATTAATAACACTCTATCAGTAACAATTATTAATTATAGTAAACATAAACTAAAAAACTGAAAAAAAATATTAAACAATAAATAAGAATTTTCATTCATTAATGAATTAAAGTAATATGTACATGAAAATGCAAAATGATGTAATGTACAATATATAAAAAAGTACAATATATAATATAGACATATGTATATATTAATATATACATTAATGTTGTTATACTACGTATACGTATTAACAATAATGAAATATACAAATAACGGATAGCAAAAATCAAAACATCAAATCGTAGAAAATAAAAAAAGTGTTTAAAATAACACAATATTAAAATAAAATTTGAAAAAGTTACTCTATTTGTTTTCGACAAACGCAATATGGATGTATATGTTAATCTCTTAAGAAAAAAATCATTTCTTACTCATTTAAACTAAGAATTTAAGGGAATTTGGTAGCCCTATGCTCAATGGTATGTTCAATACTCAAAGGAAATTGTTACTATGCAAAGTTGGTTGCACTTTTTCTTTTTGTTTCTCTGTTGCAAGAAAAGGTTTGTACAATTTTTTAATTACTAAATTTTGTGGTCTTTTCATGCAGATTTTATTTAAAGTGTGATTTAAAATAAAAAGAAGTCGTTGGTAGTTAAAATAATAATGAAAATATGATGTGTTTCAAAATTATTATATACGAATTTAGGAATTTTGTCTAGGCCACGTGGAATGATATACGAGTTGCGGTTATACTAAATTGATGCTCGAATATGTTTTAAATGACTTTCATTTCAGCGTAATTAATCAATATGGGTAAAGGAAATAATATGGTGCCAAACGCCCACTTTCACAAGTGGTGGCAGCGGCATGTTCGCACTTGGTTTAACCAACCGGCGCGGAAGATTCGTAGACGTCAAAATCGTATTAAGAAAGCTAAAGCAGTTTTCCCACGTCCTGCAGCTGGACCATTGCGTCCAATTGTCAGATGCCCCACAATTCGGTATCATACCAAGTTGCGTGCTGGCCGAGGATTCACTTTGGAAGAATTGAAGGTATGTTTTATGGGTCAAAGCAGCTGTGTCTGTAATTGCCATTAAAATTCTCTAAGGGTGCTGGTCTCACACCTGGATTTGCCAAAACCATCGGGATTGCAGTTGATCGCAGACGTAAAAACAAATCTATCGAGTCCCGTCAACGCAATATTCAGCGTCTGAAAGAGTACAAGGGTAAATTGATTCTATTCCCACTTAATGAAAAGAAAGTACGCAAGGGTGAGTCGACCCTAGAGGAGTGCAAATTAGCTACTCAACTAAAGGGTAAAGTGATGCCGATTAGGAAAGAAAACCCATCCGTCACGGAATTCCGTGAAGTTACGAAAGAAGAGAAGAAATTCAAAGCTTTTGCAACTTTGCGCAAGGTTTGTATTTTTAAAAAGGTGCTTTTTTTTAATAATCGGTATGTGTTGATTAGGCTCGCTCCGATGCCCGTTTGGTTGGTGTACGTGCTAAGCAAGCTAGAGAAAATGCCGAGAATGAAGAAGCCACAAAGAAGAAGTAGAAGGAACAGCTTATGCGTTTCTATTTTATTTATACTACTTTTTTTTTTTAATAAAAAGAAAATTTGGAAAAGTGCTAAAGTTTATAGTTAACTTTAAAAAGTCTTGTGCCAGAAGAGGGCATTTTCTATGTTTGAATGGCTTTTCGAATGGATTTCAGACAATAAACAAATACTTATTTATTGTATGGTATTCCCAGTTTGGCTCCTAGAAATATGCAAAAGAAAGGCCTCGTAGTAAACGCAAGAAAAAGCAGACTAAATGATCTAAAGCATTACAATTTAATTATATATAGTGTGGACTTTATAAATATTTATTTCCGCAGATTCGTTGGTGTTGCTTTTAACATCACAATTTGAGAAATCTAAAGTTATTTTTTTATATATATATTTTTCAAATCAAAAATTAATTACACTTTATATCAATCGTTTTACTTGAAGCAGCATTTTGTGCTGTGTAGAGACTGCCTTTGGCTAATCCTCTCTGGGCCCCTTTACGTAACTTTGAGTTGTGGCCGCAAGGTTTATAATTCCGTTCGGTACGTAGTGAAAAGTCAGAACCGTTTGCAACATTTCGTTGACCGTGTTGAAAATCCTATAATAAATATAACAGTTTTATTAGTATTTAGCGGCAGCGACTCTTTCTTATGCATCAAGATTCTGCTGGAATTTAATTCCTATGATCCGTTTATGTTAAAATTAAAATTTAAAACAAATGCTACATTATTCTTCTAAATATAAACAATGGCCGCTCTAGTAGATGGATGCTCAGCTTTGTAATCATTGCATAAAATGAATATGATACTAGCAAAAGAAAAAAAAAACAACACTCAACCAGAAAGATCTTGTCAAGAACGTATAAAAATTAATAAACTTAACAACATGACTCTGGTAAGTACAAATGAATCAATTCGGATCAAGCCAATTTTCTTGTTTTTTTTTTTCAATATTTAATTATTTTTCTAGGATTTAGTTAACTAAACTGTTAACTGTTTGGTTTGTTAACAGCTTTGGTTTTTAAATTTACTCAATAATTTCATTTATATAAAATCTTTAAAGGCAACTAAAGTGTTATTTTTTTCCGGAAAATTAACAATTTTTTAATGTATGAATGAATTTTTAAGAAATTTAGTTGTAGTGAAATATTCCTTACGACACATTACAAAGATACATATGGTTGTTCTCAAAAAAAGAATGAATCCCTTAATTATTGGTTTGAATTATTCTTAATTATTGCTATTATTAGTGGCAAATTTATTACGCTTAGGGATAATTTTATTTCATTTTGGGATAACCCTGTTAGACTTGGAACAGTTTTATTAGACTTAGAGGCAAGTTTGTTAGACTTACCGGATTAGCGCCATTCCAAGTCACATAGTCCGCACTTAGGAAAATAATTTTAAAGCATTTTTACTGAAAGTTTAAAATAATGGGGAAACTTTACTTACAGCAACAAATTTTCATTGGCCCCCTTGGGTAAACTTCTATTAGGCCCATTGGCTGTAGTGCGTTCCAACAGTGATTCGAACTTTATACACAAATCATTCATTGACCCATCGGAATTGCAAAGCTGGGAATTTCTTTTGGGTAATAGGAATATTAATTAAGAATTTAAAAGTAAGAACTTTTGTTAGAATAATAAATAATCGAATATAAAATGGATTAATGGATACAACTACATAAAAAATTTTGAATAATTTTTGCATTATGGCTCTAAGATGATAGGTCGTGAAAGTTTTTTTTTATGAGTCTTATTCGTTAATCCTACAAATTAGTTGTTGGCGTGAGCACACATTGGGGTAAATCAAGTTCAAGTAAACCGGGCGCTGTCAAATACCTGTTCGGTTAAGTAAGTTATAAAGGAAGTTATAAAGTAAAAATAGGTAAGTAAGTAAGATCAATACCCGAATATGCAGGGACATGAAAAAATCTGTGATCCCTTACACTATAATATGAGTGACGGTTTAACTGGAAGTTAGCTTTTACCGTTTTTTTTGTTTTTAAAGCGGCAGATATTGGAAAAGGTCACGTAAAGTAGACAAATGCCACTAGGTGGAGGACAATAACTATTTTTTAAATTTATTGTTGATGTTATCAGAACCCATTCTAGTAGATGAGTCGTTTTCTACTTCTTTCTTTTATCTAAGTTCGGAATGTTGAGTGATGTCATTATTCACATGGATGTTTTTGCCAGAAGAAATATCTAAATAGTAAATATTCGAAACTTAAGTGAACATGGTTAATTCCATTGGAAATCAGTTGCGATTCAAATAGGATTGGTTTACTGTGACATAGACGTATGTGAAAAGATATGACCGTTTTCGAAATCGGAAATGTCTATCACGAACGATAGTCAACAAGCAAACTTTCTTATTTCTTCATTCTCTACGAGAAAAATTAATAATGATAAACTTGATGTACATATTTCCTTATCACTATAGTGGTAATAGATTCTGTAAATTCGTACTTCATTGTTTTTTCAAATTTGACGCGTGCTTGCGATGGTAATTGTTTCCATAATGTATTAGCCGAACATGGGTAACGTAAATATTCACTGATGTTAATTCGATTTATGTTAGTTCGATAGCGGTCTAAAATGCTTTTAGTCGGCATAATGGATGATGACGCTGATGATATTAAAGAAAATGATGACGAATTGATGATTGAGAAGTTATTTGATGAATTTGTCGACGTTGACTCATTGCGATCCTTCAAATCGGTGACATCAACCGTGGACGAAATGGACCTGCTTAATTAGATTGTATACACGTGCACATATGTGTATAAGAATACAATTGAAAGCATTTTCTAATTATGTTCAATAATTAAAATAACTAAACTAAAGAAAAGTAAACTGAAAACTTTTAGAAAACTAAGAATAATATTAAAAGTGATTGCATGAATTAGATGAATAACAAAGTTAAATGTTCAGCTTTCCATTAAAGCTAAGCTTTAGATAATCACTTACTTGTCATCGGTTTTACAGGTTAATTGGTTTTCGATATCATCGTCTTCTTTAGTTGGCTTTTTAAGCGTTAATATTGAGGATTCTTTCTTAACTTTTACAAATTGTCTTTCTGCTTCTTCTTCTTGAACGATTTGTAATATCTGAATCGCACGATCTTCTGCATAATTAACTGACTCCAAAGCCATCAAAAGAATTCGTTCAGCTATTTGTGGATATCTTTTCGACAGCCTCTCCTTCACTACATTAAAAAAAGTTCGTTTGAACGTAAGAGTTCTTCCTGAAGATTTTTTTACTTACTCTTGTCTTTTTCAGATTCCGAGTATTCTCTAGGACGTAAAGGTATAATCTTAACTAATTCATCTGCCTGTTTGCCTATTTGTTTTTCAACATCCACATAACGATTCATGACCTTGGGCGGTGGTGCGAAATCTCGTTTAGTATAACCTAAAGAAATTAATTTCTCTGAAGCTTTTTGGACATTGTTATCTGCATTTGCCAATATATCCAAGAGTAGTGTCTCATCCGCTTTAGGAAAAATAGTTTTCATATATCTGTTGGTATAAAGGAAATGTAAGTTATTAGACACTACTTAATTAGCTAGAAAAGATTAATAACCGCTGGCTCCACAGATACTGAATAATAACAATTTTTGTAGCAAGTTAACCAATATTTTATACAATGTAACTTCAGTAATCTTATCCCTTCAAGTTTATTTCAGATGGAAAATTGTTTTTTTTACGTTGCTGATTAACATTACATAAATCGTCGCAAATGCAACAAATTCACTTCTGTTCAGCAGCACAAAAGCAATCTCCTGTTTTTAGAAGGATACGGATTGAATAACTGAAATCCTTTTGACAAAAGAAAGTTAGAAACGTTGTAGACAATACTGTAATAAAATAAAATAGACGTAATTCAATTGCGCTTTAACTTATCTATACGCCAGACATTTACAAAATAGCCCTAAACGTAGTCAAATTTTCTATATTGTTTTTCTATATCAAAAAATATTTTTTTAATTTTGTCAACATAATGACTTTACCAGAATACTTTTACAAAGGACGGCTTTAAATAATCCGAGGTATTATTTTTCATTTTATTCTTTTTGCACAAAATTCTGTGAAAATATCTTGAAAATGACGACTTATAAGCTGGATGCAAAGACATTAAGCACACACACACTAGAAAATGAGTCAAAGTCGAAAAAAATCATTAATGTTGTTCTTGATTTGTTAAGAAAGATTGCACTACTCTTCATCAAATAATACGGAATTAAGTTCGGCTGCTACCATATTTTTATGTAATAACACTTTTTCGATGGTATTTCTCTTTGCTTTTTTGCAAGAAATCTGCCGTATGAAACTTGTTCTACGTTCATAACATTCTTGTTAGAGAAGAATGCACGTTCGACTTGGAAAGTAACGTAATATTAATCAAAAATCAAACCTTAATTTCATTTTTGGTGAGGAATGTTGAGGTTTTGGTGAATTACGCATCAAATGGTCACCAACTTTTGGCGAGTCTTGGGGTGCCGCTATCGGTAATGCCACATGACCGAATTTGCTACCACCACCACTACTAACGCTTATGACACTACCAAGTCGTCCTGTTGGTGCTGGACTGGCAGTACGTGAATAGTTGCCAACAAATTGTATTGGTTCACGACCAATACGACGTACTGGTGGAGTCATGTAAACGGCCGAATTGCTATGAAACAAATGCCGTTGTGCCGGTGGGGTAACAAACGGTCCAGGCATTGTAAGCGGATATTTTTCAACTTGTAAAGCGCTTATTACAATGTTTTCACGATTATAATACCTACATACGTATTGAATAAGCATTTCAATTCCGAGTAAGCGTGAAAATGTTAAATGGAATTAATTGAATTATTGAATGAATTAACCCATTAACTTGTACTCACTTTTTCAAAAGCAATCGTATATGATTCTCGCTGGCTGTTGGGAACATATTTTGTATTTTATGAACTACAGCATTCGTATCAATTTGATTTGAAAACGATGTCTCTTGAATTGTGGAACGCCGAGACATATTAGCCATAATACGCGGCGTTTGAGTTGGGTTAGTTTTGAGGATCGGCAAAGGTGATGTATCCTATAAGAAGATTTTTTTCGGTAAATGTACTTAAAAACTACTTCATTTTTGTGCATTTTCTAAATATACCAAAGCGAATCTAGATGATGATGGCAAGTGGCGGTTAGGTGTTGATGTTTGAAATGCGCGCATTGCTTGGATGTTGTTAGTAGGATAAACGTGATACGGTGAACCTCCAGGCCCCTGCAAGAGTTAATATACAATTGATGTAATATATATTTTCATTAAAAAGGAGTGAGAATTCCAATGTATGCTCCCTATGTGTTTTGAACTAAAAGCAGGGAAAGCCGATATTTTTTCTGCGTTTTTGTAACTGCAGCGACCATTATCATTTAGGGCCTTTTTGCGAAATTTAGTCAAAGGATTCTTTAAAATTCACGGTTAAAATACTATTAAGTATAGTGAAGCATCGAAAGCGCTGAAAAAAGCTTGGGTGTCCTCGCAAGTCAACCGCTGCGAAAAGGTGGAAAAAGTGAAAATATTCTGCTCCGTTGGGAAACAGGAATCTCCATAGAGATCGATACAGAAATGGAAATTTTTATCGTCTATTCAAAGCTACTTTTACTAATGTTTTTAATGTAACATGTAACATTTGTCTTGGAAATGGTGAATATTCTATCCAAGAAATGTAACGTGCACTACGTTGCCACGCTCTTGTTCAGAAATTACATATTGTAACTTTTTATCCACAAATGACTCAATGATCATTTCATTTTAGTCGTTTCCCCAAACCTAGCTCGTTGTGCCTTCTTCGTTCGCTTTTCTTTTCAGAATTATTGTTGTTATTCTTATTGCAGTCAGAGAATTTAATTCTAAGATCAAAGTGGTAAATCACTAGGATTCAAGGCTTTCTTGAAAACTCTATCGCCCTTGAGCTTTGAATCCACGAACATTGAGTCTGTATTTGTTGATAATTGAGAATAATTGAAAAAGTCAGTCTGCATTTGTTTACAATTGAGAATAATTAAAAAAAACGAGACCGAACTGAGAAACATCAGAGAATAATTAAAGGAGCGAGTCTGCATTTGTTTACAATTGAGAATAATTGAAAAAACGAGCCTGAATTTGTTTGGATGTGATGCAGCGTACACAAGTCACCGCTCTGTTAGCAAAATTTTGCCGTTGTATGTATTGAAGTAACGAGCGAAAAACGAGACTGTTGTTTTTAAAAACGGAGGTGTTCTCGTTTTATGCTGTATTGCAGATGTGTCCTTTGACCGATTTACACCCGTTTTCAATACTAATCTGCGTGCCATGGCTTCGACTGTTTCTGCCGAATTTTCACCACAAACGGACATGCTTAAAACAATTCAGAATTTGATGCTGATCAAATATATATATACATGAAGCACACACATGTTCACATGTTGCAAACGGATGGACAAAATGAATGCAATGTCCGGTTTTCAATCGTTAGTTACAATCCGTTCGTTACCTTTAGCACTTTTCTTTGAAATATATCTGTGATCTTCGGCGCGAATGCAGGTTTGACAACATTTGTATGTTACTTAACGAAACAGCAAAATACTATTAAAATATGATATTCCAAATTGCACGTCTATACAATTCCTTCCTCGTTTCCATCCGGTAAAACAAAATATCTAAAAGAAAATTATATCGCACCTTTTTTTCAAAAATGAAGCCAATGATTGCTAGTGTTCATGCTAGCAAACTTGTTATTTTAGAGGAGAAGTAAATGAGCGAACTTTTGTTACTTTAGCGAAGAAGTAATTGTACGAACTTCGAATTTTGTTACTTTAATGGAGAAGTGAATGAGCGAACTTCGAATTAGTATAAATATACATTTAATCTAAATCTAGGGTCACATGCGGTTTTATTTATCTATTTTATTAATGAAATTTAACTATTTTTCTGAGGTTTTGTTTAGCTTTATCAACATTCCACCAGGTTTTGTTTGTTGTTCCAGGGATTGATTTCTGTAATCATTATATGCATATTGTATGTTACAAAAAAGGGAAAAAACGGTTACACGGTACTGAAAATTTTTTTTTTTTTGTTTTTTTTTGATGATAAATCTTCGAGTACAGCCGGTTCTCTCATATGTTTAGATTCAAATTTGTATCAATTATATTACAGGCTTTAGAGGCCATTAAATAAGCATAGCTTGGGCTACATGACACATAATACCTGTGCTACAATTTGCGGAAAGAGACTTATTTTTTTTGGACACATAAATCTGAAAGTTTAGTATCGATTCACACGAAGGAAGTGGAAATTACCCACAATAAGAAGTAATTTCATCCATCTTTCTATATAAGTTTATGAGGAAATTAGACAGCGTTACTGTGCCTAGCTCATTTGAATTTTTTTATGCCAACGAAGTATTTAGAATTATTAGTCAGTAAAGTCTGACTCTTGTGAAGTGTTTACACCAATATTTAATTGCATCTATTTTTCATTCGAAGTTCGCTCATTTAGTTACTTTCTCAAATTACCAAATTCGAAGTTCGCTCATTTAGTTACTCTCTCAAGTTACCAAATTCGAAGTTCATATCTAATGTTGGTTAGCGACATTCAAATACTCAATTTATGATAAAATTTGTTAACATTTATGCTGCCATTTATTAGCTGCACGCTGATCTAATTGTAGGCAAAGCGCTTTTTAATACGAATTGTCTTACAATTAATATGACATGACGGTGAGTGTTGGACCTTTTTTTCGGATTATATGGATTAAGTTAGTAAGTAACTTAAATCTGCAAAAATTAGCAAAGCGAACGGAAAAGAGTTTTTTATTGATTTATTATTTACTGTGCAAACGACGTGGATAAAAAGTGAAAACGTAACAATTCCTTATGCTGTCAATTACAATGTATATATGCGTATATGTTTGTTTACACTTCTCAATACTTGAACATGTATTTGTATAAACTAAGGGCACTTTAGAGAATAAGCGTATATGTTCTCAATAACTTGTATAAAAATTTCAACCATCCGAGAATAAAGGTTTGATAGGATATGATTTCTATTGCATGCTGACCGGTCGCAGGCGTATTCTTTTAAAAATTTTATAACATAGCAGGCGATGTCTACTGTGACAGACAAGAGCGTGCATTTTTCCTCTTTTAGACCCACAAATAATATACAAGGCCGTTCACTCAAAACGGCCACAAAACAGATCAAAACTATAAGCGCATTCGGACTTATTTTAAGAACCACACTTGGCATTATTTAGACTAAAATTTGATTCATTATATTTGAATTATTACATTAATTATAAAATGTAATGCTTGCTAGTAAATTGCAAATTAAAATATAATAGATTACCCTAACATTTCAATAACGTAAGTGACGTTTCAAGTCGGCAAAATTGATGTTCACCAATAAACATACATATACGTATATAAAAAATTACCTGCATTGGTATTGATTCACTTGAACACCGTTCGTTTTGTAGCTGTCGATAGGGCGGGCGAGGATCTTCCAATTGAATCGCTTTAGTAAAATAATTTATATAATAACTAGGAAAAACGAAAAGGGAAGATTGCATGCTTAATACCATATCTAGGGAATCTAAAAGAATGCGGTATCCCCACTTTACTCATTAGAATTCCATGGGCGCCGCCATATTAGAATTTATAAAATCTTTCCATAACTAAGGAGCACTTACCAGTTTCCCGTTGCCTGGTCAAATTTACAATCCCAACCGGGTGGAAGTTTTTGATATTGTCTCCCGCTGGAATCACTCATTTTTTATTTTATTTTTGGTTATTATTTCAGTTAGTTTTGAGTGATTACATTTGTTGTTATAAAATTTTTTTCATTTAGGTATACATATATAATAAAACCTTAAAGTTCCCTTACAAAAAATTCGAACTGGCTTTTTTCGAAGAGAGAGAAAAAAAGCGACTGAGAAAATCTAGAAAATGTTTAGCGATATATTGTGTTCTTGTCAGCAGAGACAATTAAACGGCAAGATAGCCCAGTATTTCATTCAAAATTCAAACTAGGAGATTGTTATGGACTTTTTGTGTTTCTGCTGACAATAACAGTAGTGATGTGTTAATTGACAGCAATTGCTTGCTCAATCATTGTCTAGTAATAGGGCTTTAAACGATTGTACAGCAGAAGCATAAACAATTCTTCTTCTTTAAGTGAATATGGGCTACAGTGTACATATAGTTGTGTCTACGAAAAAGCTATAAATATAGGTAGATAGAAAATATGATTTGTGTTTCTCTCATCGTGTATTTGGTATTGAAGAATTCTAAATTATTTATTCACCATACCTATGTTTACGAATTGCTTCAATAAATTCACTATTCTAATACATATTCTAGGGAGCCACAGTCTTATGAAACAACTAGGTAAAACGACTATATGTGATGTGAAAAATTGCAGAAATATGTCAATTGCAAATATGTAAATAATAAGCAAATTAGATAAAGCTAAAATATAGCTATAATGTAACTTTTAGCAATAAAAAATTTTTTTAAATTCTTGATATGAAAATTTTCATTTCAATCTATCGGAGCATTTGGTGAATAGACAATTTACAATTCTTCAGTGTGAAATAAACTGGATACACATTTATTTATATGCTCTTCGTAGCATATTTATATGCTCTTCGTAGCATATTTATATGCTCTTCATAGTGCATATTCACTTTGTAAACGTTTGAGAGAATGCGACGACATTTGAACATTCTATTAAAAGAATTTTCGCCTATAAAACTAGTGAGAATGAAAGAGCAAGCTATCGAATAATTGTTAGTTAACAGCGTTACTACTTTTGTTGCTAAGCACAAAAAAGCTCCAAAAATTTTTTAGCTTGAGTTTTAGGAAAATGTTGGACGATCCTATCATTTAGCTAGCCTGCCAAAGCAATTTGTTAAAAAGTGGCGATTCTGTCTCTGCTTTCTTCTCTGCTTTTTAGACAGCCATCAAATCTCCACTCAGTGTAAACAAAATTTTACGAAAACAATGCCAACAATCGCTCAGTGGTGTCAAGTAACGAGAGCCAATGAAAGCGAAGAAACCCATTGTGGTTAAAGAATATCGCCAGGAAGATAAACAAGCCAAGGATTTTTTGCAAAAATTAAAAAATAAATCTTATTCATGAGAATTAATTAGGAATATTAAAAAGGTTGTATTTTTTGAAAGTATTTGACTATAATCTAACATATATATTTAAATAATAAAAAAGTTAATAAAAGCATATAAGAAAATTATTATTATTAATCGGTTTAAATGCTCAATGAACAATCAATGAAAACTTCACACGAATATGTTTTTAAATGAAAAATTCAATTCTTCCTCTTGCGCACACAATTTCGGGTCGTCAAATATTGTGAAAATTCAAGCATGAACATATTTAATATATTTATTTTTCGTGATGTGTGTTGTGATATAATAAATTCCATAATCTGCAACTATTAGTAGTGCTCGCGCACTATGTAAATAATAAGAAACAGGTCATATTTTTTGCAACGTTTTTTGGCCTGGTTCTTATATTGCATTAAAAAGAATAAATCGACCTTTGCGTGAAGTTGGCTTAATCTCCCCGCGGATTAGTCGAACATCGACTATTTTCGCGTTTTGTTTTGTTCTTTATATATGTATTTTCGATGCAACAATTATTACTGTTTAGTTCATTATTACAATTAGACAATTACACCGATAAAAATATCATTTTTTTTTTTTTTGGTATGTTGAATGGAGATGGACTAAGCCAATAGATTTGTGGCCTTTATGTCCAGATAATAAACTGTCGTAATTTTTGGTCACAATTAAAAAAAATGGATCACTTAATGCTGTTAGTTGTAACTAAGGGTATGTGTATTTAATTTATTTATATACCTATATAAATATATATGTTATTTATTTCTTTCAACATGTACGTAAGTAGTTTATTTAATGACTGAATAATGGTAAAAAGGTCATCTAATATTTGCCATTATATTCACATATACACATATCGTTTCTTTTTATATATCTTACAAAGTGCTGATCTTAATATTTGTTAGATTTCATTTGTTTACTTCTTCGTTTAAACCATAAGAAAAAGAAAAGTAAAGCAGCAGAAAAACTTTAAAATTTTCTTCTCTTAAAAATTTCTTATTTCCTCTTTCTTTTTGATTTCAAGAATGTTATTAACAAATACTCAATGCCGTATTATGCTTATCTTTTTCGTTGTTTACAACTGTTTAAGACTCTTTAAGACTGTTTAATGACATTTTATATACTTTCGATCCGGAATTTCGCTATTTTAACAAAGTGTTTACAACTGCTTACAACTGTTTAAGACTGTTTAATGACATTTTATATACCTTCGATCCGGAATTTCGCTATTTTAACAAAGTGTTTACAACTGTTTAAGACTGTTTAAGACTGTTTAAGACTGTTTAATGACATTTTACATACTTTCGATCCGGAATTTCGCTATTTTAACAAAGTGTTTACAAATGTTTAAGACTATTTAAGACTGTTGTAAGGAAGCGTTTTTGCTTCCTTACCGAATACAAGTCCGTCCGCCTAAAACATTTACCCACAGCGAACAACCTGTCAGTCCGATCTGTCCTTGCACGTCTTTTTGTCATCAATATATGAACAGCCTCCTCCAGCAGAAATATAAGAAATTAAGCACAAAGCCTCAGAACCCAACCTGTATAAAAGCAGAAATATACAAAACTATGTACAAAGCCTCAGAATCCAGCCTATATTTATTTATTTATTTATTTATTTTTATTCCACTTATACTAGAAACTCAACTAAACAAATAACAGTCGAGTTCAATAGGCTCTTAATGCAAAACTAATATTAATTAACAATAAAATTGAGTATAAGCATAATAAAACAAATAAGAAGAAAAAAAAGAAAAAGAAAAAAGAAAAAAAAGCATGTACACTATCAGCATAGTAGCACACTTACAACCGATACAGGACCAAATTGCAAATGAACCCCTAAGCCATCGCAAACATGCATAAGCCTGGCAACCGATAATAAATTGACAATAATTCACTTTCGAAACGTAACGACTTTTTAAGGATAAAAGATAGTTTAAATACGACATAGGTAAATCGCGCGTATTAATGTTGCTTTAATGGACTTTAAAGAGTCCGATAACGAGAATAAGTAGTAGACGTCATTTAGCTTCTTGCAAACGACTCTGAGCGGATTGAACAGCTCATAACTAAATTTACACTGATTAAGCTTAACCAAGATAAAATGCCTAGAGAAGCGGTTAGGGACATTAAAGCTTATTTCACCAAGTAATGAAGGCGAGTCAATAGCACCATTTATTACTTTAATTAGAAAGGAAACGCCAAGAACAAATCTACGTTTCTCCAGAGACGGTAGGGACAGCAGAAGCAACCTATTTTCATACGGAGGAAGAGAGGCAATCGGATCCCAACCCAAATTTCTAAGGGCAAACAGCAAGAATTGCTTTTGAACTGATTCAATTGAATCTACGTAGCACCTATATGAAGGAGACCACACAACTGAGGCATACTCGAGTATGGGTCTAACCAAACACATGTACATCCTTTTCGTAATGTAGGGATCATCAAGCTATTTGGACCACCTTTTTATAAAATCAAGCGCGGACCTAGCTGTGCTAATCGAAAGCTCAATATGCAAGTTAAAACGTAACCTATGGTCAAATAGAACGCCTAAATCTGTAATCGAATCGACGTCCTCCAACTTATGCGCATCAATAAAATACTGAGTAATGAATGACTTTCTTCTTGAGAATGAAAGCTTCTTACATTTACTCAGATTTAGTTTCAGGAGATTCAAAGAGCACCATGCAACAAAATTATCCAAATCACCTTGAAGCTGATGTGATTGCGATTCAACAGAGAAGGAAGAAAACAGTTTCACATCATCAGCATACATTAAGATCTGGCTGGAGTTAACCACCGATGGGAGACCGTTAATGTATAAACTAAATAAAATGGGACCTAAGTGACTTCCTTGAGGTACGCCAGACGTAACGGGGAATTCATCCGAGGTGATGAAGTTCAACAAAACTCTGAAGGATCTATTGTGCAGATAAGAGCTTATCCATTTCACTAAGTAGGGTGGGAAACCAGAGGCTTGGAGTTTAAAGATAAGTAGTCTATGGTTAACCATATCAAATGCTTTGCTTAAATCAGTGTAAATAACATCTGTGCGAGAGCCACTAGAAAAAGCCTTGAAAACATGACAGGTAAACTCTAACAAGTTGGTGACTGTAGATCGCCCTTTCCGAAAGCCGTGCTGGTGCGGAGAAATATACGAATTAATGGCAAAAGCCAAATGCTGAGTCACAATACGCTCGAACAACTTGGGCAAGACACTCAACTTGGCTATGCCCCTGTAGTTCTCAACAAATTGTCTACTTCCACTCTTGTGGATAGGAATAAGGAAACTACTCTTCCAACATGAAGGGAAAACACCTGAATACAAGGACATGTTAAAAATCTTTGAGATCACACCACACAACTTGACAGCGCAAGAATTAAGTACACATGATGGAATTCCATCAGGTCCAACAACTGTATTTTAGAGAACTCAACCCTTTGAAAACATCATCTTCCGAAATAACCAAGTTAGGTATTGAAACCGAGTTAGTTATAGGATAAGGGTAGTTTGCTGATAAATCGAAATTAGCAATCGAAAAGTTTCGTCGGAAATACTCAGCAAATAGATTTGAGATTTCAAAATCATCCGAGGAACCAGAGCCATTAAAAGAAACATGAGAGGATATTTGGAATTTTTTTTTTAGAGTTAACAAATTTAAAGAAGAATTTAGGATTAGCAAACAGAGAGGATTTAATGAACTGAAGGTATCTGCAGTAATAATGATGGTTGAGGGAGTTAAATCTATGCCTCGCCACCGAGTAAGCGACATAGTCGAGCGCAGAGCCACTTTTCGAATATTTTTT